AGATTTCTTCAGACTTATGCTGCGTGTCTAGATATTTGTCCTTTCTTCCCCTTTCCATAAATGCAGATTTCCACGCAGTTGCGCATACCCTGATCCAATCCTTGTCTCTCATCAGACCACTGCATAGCCACTTAAATATGTCCCCCAGGCTTGACCTTCTCCAATTCATTCTCCTCACAGTGATTAACTGGACGAGAATATTAGGGACATATGCAAGTGAAGGTTGTGTGTGTGTGTGTGTGTGTATGTGTAAAGAACTTTAAAAAATCAATTTGAAAACACAAATAGTATGAGAATCCTCATGATTGGTAAACATAAAAAAGTGTTCTACTTCCCTAGTGATAAATGAAACACAAATTTAAATGATGAGATGCTATGTATGCCTAACAATGTATTAAAGAAATGTATGCAATATCGGCAAGCATTTAGGGACTAAAAAGCTCTGAAGCATTGCTAGTTGGAATTTAAAATGGTTCAGGCTTTTTGGAGGGCAATTTGATAATATGTAGAAGATGACTTTAAAATGAATTCCACTTCTATGAATTTGTCTTAAGGCAATAATAGGACAGTGTTAAAAAAACTGTGTGTGTATAGAAGGATCCTTGTTTATAGTGATAAAAGAGTCTGACCGAGGGTATTGGTTAAATATTTAATAGTAAAATTTGGCATATCTAGATAATGAAATTCTATGGAGCCATAAAAGGTAGAGGTCTTTTTTATTTGTCCTGAAAGACTTCCACAATATATTTTTAAGTGAAAAAAGTAAGTTACAAAGCAGCATATGTATATGATACATCTCTTTTTGTAAGGAAGAAGTATTAATATGTTGGAGGGGGGTGTGTATAGCACAGGGAGAATTGTGGAGGACTCTTTGCCAGAATGTCAATATGTCTTGCTTCTGGTGGTAAATATATAGGTGGTTTTAATATTTTTTTCATGCTTAGCCTGTACTTTATTACTTATGACAAACAAATATTATATAGTCAATATATATCTATAGATATATGTGGTAAATATTTCTGTGTAAATAGATATAGTAAATCTATATACACTTTTTTTATTTTAAAAAAAGACATGGGTTCCCTCTCCAGAGGTTGAGAGCTCAGACTCTATTTATTTGTTTATTTTTTAGAGACAGGGTCTTACTCTGTCACCCAGGATGGAGTGCAGTGGCACAATCATAGCTCACTGCAGCAGTGAGCTCCTGTACTCCAGCAATCCTCCTGCCTCACCTTACCGAGTAGCAGGACTGTAGGTGCAAGCCACCACACCTGCCTAATTGTTAAAAAATATATATTTTTAGAGGTGGGATCTCACTATATTGTCCAGGCTGGTCTCTAACTCCTGGCCTCAAGCAATCCTCCTGCCTCAACCTCCTCTTGGGATTGTAGGCATGGACCACCACACCCAGCCTTTGGACTTTATGTATTGTTTTCTTTTTCTTTGAGAGTGAAGGTACTTAATTTAAGTAAACGTGAGAGAAGGAAGTAAAAATATGTTAAATCTGAATAGTTAAGTGCATGGCTATGTGTTACAGTATTTTTGTTTTCTATTTTTGAAATATAATTTATGAAAAAAGATTTTGCTTGTAGGATTCACAATAGAACGAGAGAGAAAAACACATGTAAAATAATTATAATTAAAATATACTATTGGTGGCCGGGCGTGGTGGCTCACGCCTGTAATCCTAGCACTTTGGGAGGCCGAGGCGGGCGGATTGCTCAAGGTCAGGAGTTCAAAACCAGCCTGAGCGAGACCCCGTCTCTACCAAAAATAGAAATAAATTAATTGACCAACTAAAAATATATATATACAAAAAATTAGCCGGGCATGGTGGCGCATGCCTGTAGTCCCAACTACTCGGGAGGCTGAGGCAGTAGGATCACTGAGCCCCGGAGATTGAGGTTGCTGTGAGCCAGGCTGACGCCACGGCACTCACTCTAGCCTGGGCAACAAAGTGAGACTCTGTCAAAAAAAAAAAAAAAAAAAAAATAATAATAATAATTATAATTAAAATATACTATTAACTTTTTGTCTAAATGTATATCTTTTAAAATTAGTTTTCATTTTTTTCAAATAATATAAATATTTGATATTTAAAAGTATCAAAAAGTGTTAAATTCTAACAACTAACAAAAAATATGAGTCACCTGTCCCATCTTTCTGTATGTCCAGACCCACTCTCAAAGGGGGAAACCTCTAAGCAAATTATACTGATATTTTTACTGTCATATTTCTAAATACCTTGCTTATATTGGTATTTTTTGATTTATCAATTTTGGGCATTTTTCTATTGCCTCCTGGTTATCATAGATTGGATTTAGCTCTTCTATCTTGCTATCACCATCACTCCTTTTGGCTTCCCAATATAGTTATATCATAATTTTTGGTCAAACCAAATAATGTGCACATTATTACTATGTAAGTATTGTTCACCATTGAGCTTAGTAGTGAACTATGACTTTTTCCTTTGTTGAACCTCTCTTTGTTTTTCCTAGAGTTAATTGCCTTTTTTATCTGCATAGTTTTCTATGCATTTGGGAAAAGATAATGCCACCTCCCTCCCTCTTCCCCTAAAAGTTTTGCCAAGCAATTTTAAATTTTTTCAAAATCACAACAGAGCAAAACATCTTACCAATTCCATTCATTTCTCCTTTCCAATCTGAATTGGTTGTTCTTAGCCCTAGTATATAGTTCTGATGTTAGAACTTTTTCTTCATACTCCTTAGTTGGAGCCCTAACTTTCCTGGATCTCATGTTGTCTTTTTTCCTTTTTCCTGAAGCACATTCTATAATAGTTTTCTCAGAATGATTGTATAGGGGGTAAATTTTTGGGTCTTTCTTCTACCTTTACACTTGACTGAGAATTTGAATTTTAGAATTACAGATTGAGGCTCACTTTTTCTTAGAATTTTGAAGGTGTTTCAGAGCAGAAGATCCTCCTAGATGGAGGAACAAACAAGCTTTCTAGGCTTTCCAATGCCTACAGAGGCACCCAGTTGACAAGGAAACTGACTGATTGTGGTAAAGATCCTGCCAGGTCTTCCAAGTAGCTTTCTGGGCCTATCTCCTGAGGGCCTATATATTATACTTCTTGGCCTCACTCCATATTCTGGAAACTCTGGCTAGGTGCTGGTCCTTCCATCAGGCATAAGTGTAACTGGTTATATCCGAGCATGCTGAGTGCTTACTACAGTGAGGTGAAGCTAAACTCACCTTGTCAGGTGTACCATCCTGCTAGGAAACCTAGCCTTCAGACCCTCCTGATTCTATTCCTGTAGGCTTCCTTAGATGGTAGCGAGTTCTTCCCACATTAGGAATGCATGGACAGAAATGAATGGTACAACTAGTTCCTGGAGACTTTATAAGAGGGGCAACTTGTGACCCTAAGAGACCCCTCTGACATTGAGGCTCCATGGTCCTATGACTGTTGAGCTGGTGTTGTCCTTGAGCAGGATGACCCTTCCTGGTTTGTTGACCTGCTTCTCCTGTACTTTATTCTTTAAGACTCAGCTAAGGAATTGCCTCCTCTAGGAAGCTTTTGTCCTTGTTTCTTCTTTCCCACTGGTCTTGTGCTTTTTATTTCTTTTTCTCTTTTTAATTTCAGAGATATAGTAGTGAGGTATAGACATGCCTACTGAGCCCCAGATGTATTTATGGAACCCAGCATGAGTGGCAGGGAGTAAAGAGGTATTTCTATCAGAAGTGACCAGAATGTGACTGACAGAAGTATATTCTTCATCAAATAAGAGTTTTAATTTGAAAGAGGGAAGGGGACTATTCTGGCTGGAAGAGAGCTTAGCAAATTCAAGTACTTTGATTTTTCAGGTAAGGAAAAAAGGCAAAATATAGTCTTCACTGGTGCAATGTTAGTGTGCTATGGCATATATTTTAGAAAGAACATTGCATCTAAGGGCTAGAAATTTGATTTTGAAATCATAACTCTGTCATTAAGAGTTTAGGGGAGCTTGAGCAATATTTCTAACTTCCCTGAGTACTTCATTTCATCCATAAACTAAGGGTAACCCCACCCACACAAGGTTGTTGTGAGAATTAAATGTGAGCTGGCATGTGAAAAGACATGTCATGGTACTTCTGTTTTTCATACTATAAAAACTTATTTCAGAAAAAACATGTTTTACCAACACAGTCCTTTAAATCTATCTGAGGAGGGCTTGAATGCTTTTACTAGTGTTAAATGATTACTGGGTTAATAAATTACTGTGTTTCCCAAATTATTTTATCTTGCATTTTTTTAGAACAACTAACTGTTGTGTGGTGGCTCACACCTATAATCCCAGGATCTTGGAAGGCCAAGGTGGGAGGATTGCTTGAGACCAGAAGTTTGAGACCAGTCTGGGCAACACAATAAGATTCCATCTCTGCAAAAAATAATAATTAAAAAAAATTAGCGGGGTGTGGTGATTGGCACCTATAGTCCCACTACTCGAAAAGCTGAGGCTGGAGGATCCCTTGAGTCCAGGAATTTGAGGTTACAGTGAGCTATGGTTGTGCCATTGCACTCTAGCCTGGGTGACAGAGCAAGGCTCTGTCTCAAAACAAACAAACAAACAAACAAAACAAGTTATGGAATTCGCAGTGATGGCTCCTGGTAGTATCTGGAAATATACTAGTACTGTATGTGTCGAGCCAGTCTATGTCTAGGCTATACTCCCAAGCATGATTGTGTCTGTGTGAGAGTCTCTTTGGTTGTTGGTCCATTGTAACGAATAGCTCCTTTTAAATTCTACCACATCTATACTCATGCTTCTTTGATTTGAAATTTAACCAGTATATTTAACTGGCAAATAGTCAAGTGTTCTGTATGCATACTTGGGCAATGCCGAATTCTTAGTACATTTAAGTGGTTTGAAATAATCTACGTTAAGATACTCTGTATAAGATATATTTCTGTATAATATATAATCTATTAAGAAATCTATATGAAGCAAAATTATTCATAATGACTTTTTTCACGGAATATGCATTTTTTTCCCCAGAATAATTTAGAAGAGGATGAAGATCTGGAAATGAAAAACAGTATAACTCAAGGAGACAAACTACGTGCCTTAAAAAGTCAGAGACAGCCACGCACCTCACCGTCTTGTCCATTTAGGTAGATCCCTTTCAAAATTTCAAATACATAGTGTGCTTTCCTTTGTGTATAGAACATTCAGTCTTCTCTTTGGAATACCAATCGAATCTACAGATACCAAGTTTACCTCATGTTTTTTGGTTTGTTACTATTTTATATTGTTTATTATTTATTTTATCACTGTTAGGAAAGTTTAGAAGCGTATTGAAGCAACTGCTGCATCTCAGTCTCTGGAATTCTACCCTAAGCTGCTAAGCACTAAATTATTGCTGGGACTCTTGTTTCAATTTTCATTTGGATTTCTGCCCTTCTCCTGTGAGTGGATGTCTTGTCTTACGGTGAATCCTCACAAGTGTGCTGAGGCTTTTGTATTGAAGTCAGAGTGTGTGGAAAATTATTGTGTACCAGGCTTTGGTATATCCTAACTCATTCCTTAGCTTTGCCTTCTGTTTTTTGAGAATGGAATAAGCAATTCTTTCTCGTGCCTATAAAGTTATAAGCCATCTTGATTTTGAAGTCTGAAACTACTCATCAGAATCAATGATGGGACTTGATTTCTGCCACAACATGAGAAACCTGTTCAAATTGGGGGAAAAAAAGAAAAAGAAAAAAAATTCAGAATTAATGTAGGTAGAGAAATCTGTAAATATCATCAAAATTCTTTATTGTAATATTCTGGGTGGCGAGGCCCCAGCCTACGACTGAATATAATGAGAAACAACTACTTCTGTTTGACTTGCAAGTGAGAGACTTGCATAGTACTAAGGATGTTTGCCAGTGTGATAAACATCAAACAGATTCATAGGAAATTTAGTTTTCGTGTGTTATCTGGCCAAATTATTGCATTTAAGTCAGATTGGGTCTTTGAGTACTAGTTTGCTGATCTGAGAAATAAAGGTTCATGATGCTCAAAGTTGAGGTTATCATTTTCTGTAGTACGATGTGGACACGGTGCTTAGTAATCTAATATCCATTTGCAAGGTTTCTCCCTTTTGCCAGTTTAATATTTTGACTGGTTTGACACCATGTGATATGCCTTTGGTCTTTGTTAAAATGTGCAAACCTGGTGATATGTGTTTGTCTTTGATTTCCACAGGTCAGATGAAACGAAAGGACAACCAAGAGCAGTGTCCCAGCCTTTCAGGTACTGTTAATGAGGTCGAATTGCTACTAGCTTTTAAATATATACTTCCTTTTAGACATATTTTCCAAGCCTCAAACTGATGAAAATCAACTTTACACAGCTCTTCGCTTTTTAAATTGCGTTCTTTCTCTTTTGGCTTGTTACAACGCACCTTATTTTTAATGTTTACTATGTAAAGGATTTTTGTTTTGGTGACGTGCCCATGGGGCTGTGCGGCTGTGGTAGTGATCTTGACGTGTTTTGTGCTCTCAGTCCTTTGTTGGCATCTCTAATAAACTACAAGCAGTCTGCAACTTTTCTTTCAATCCAGTGATAGATTTTGGTTTGATTTTCCTTTTTTTATTTCTCTTAGTCCTCTTTCACCCTATTTTTGCATGTATCTATTCCCTTTCTTTTCTAGTTTTATTTCCTCCTTCTTTCCTTTATTTCCTTCTTCCCTATCTTCCATTTGAGGAGGCAATGTTAGTTTTTTTCCTCTGGAAAAATGTCCCCTGAATATTCCTGGAGTGGTACCAGGATGCAGCACAGGGCTTGGGGAGAGCAGTGGAAATGTTTGGCCAAGACTGTTGGTGAAATAGGGGAAAGAGGCTGATTGCCTCTTCACCTCTGGTTCTTATTTGTCCTTTGGTTCAGGATTGTTTAGTGGGGGCAGTTCTGAGAGGTCCCAGGCTTCTCTGGAAGCTTGTGCCCTGGTTCCTTATACAGCTTTTCCCATTTTTGTTTTAGAGGCAGAATATGTGCTTAAGCAGTTGTTTAGAGGGTAGATGATGAAGCAAAGAGTTTACAAGTAAATGAGCTTTTCTCTAGCAGATCAGATAGGAAAACTGAGTTCAGCTACATTAAGTGATTTGTCCAGGATAGAACAGATTTGGTGTTGAAACTATAACTTGGCCCTGGCTATCCAGATTTGAGTCAATTTCCCCTTTTTGTCCACCTGGAAAATGTTAATTGGGCACCTGCTCTGAGTCCTGCATTGTGCTAGCTACTGGGAATTGAAAAGAGAGACAAGTCTTTGTTCTCAAGGAACTTACATCAAATGAGGGAAATAGACAAATATCAGGCGATGAAATATGATACAAGAGCCATGATTTACCATGAAAACATATGATGAAACAGGATGCTTACCCTGTTTGGGAATTCAGGCAAGCCTTGCTGGATGAGGTCACAGTGACAGGAATGGGTCAGATGGAGGTGGGAAGTAAGAAGCGGAGAGAGGTAAGGAGAGAAGATGCCCTGGCAGGAAAAGTCGCATAGGCAAGCTGGACAAGGGTGGGAGTGCAGTCCAGTCAGGGAACTCGAGGCATTGTGTGGAGCTGGAGTAGGGATGTCCAGTGGGGAAGTGTGGATAGAAGGGCCTGCTCAGAGAGGCAGGTGCCAGATTTGGGAGTGGTTTTATAAGCCAAGCTCAAAACTTTAGGCTTCATGGGCACTGAGGAAAGATTAAATGCTTAAACAGTAAAGTGACATGACGAGATACTTTAGGTTTTCCTGGAGGCTATTCAGAATTTGAATTGTTAAGGAATAAGATTAAATGATGCTACTAGTAGTAAAGGATAAGAGATAAAGATGGCTTCACCCAGGGCAGCTGCAGGGTCGAAAGAAGAGGATAGGTTTGAAGTATAAGGAAGTGGAAGCCAAGGACATGCTGAAGAATGAATGAATGCCAGTGGTGAAAAAGGGCAGTGACCAAGGAAGACAGGATCATGGTTAAGAGCAGGACTTTGTCTTTTTTTTTTTTTTTTTTTTTTGAGATAGAGTCTCACTTTGTTGCCTAGGCTAGAGTGAGTGCCATGGCGTCAGCATAGCTCACAGCAACCTCAAACTCCTGGGCTCAAGTGATCCTCCTGCCTCAGCCTCCCGAGTAGCTGGGACTACAGGCATGCGCCACCATGCCCGGCTAATTTTTTCTATGTATATTAGTTGGCCAATTAATTTCTTTTTTTATTTATAGTAGAGACGAGGTCTCGCTCTTGCTCAGGCTGGTTTCGAACTCCTGACCTCGAGCAATCCGCCCGCCTCGGCCTCCCAGAGTGCTAGGATTACAGGCGTGAGCCACCGCGCCCGGCCAAGAGCAGGACTTTGAATCCTAGATTTGAATCCCAGGTGCCACTTGCTAACTGAGTGACTTTGGATGAGGAATTTTTTCCTTTGTGCTTTCGTTTCCTCACTTGTGAAGTGGGAACAGCAGTATTAGCTACCTCATAGGGTTATTGTGAGGACGAATTGAGTTTAACCTCTTTAAGGCTCTCGGAACAGCTCCAGGCAGAGTTAGAGAGTGCTGTGCACGTTCACTGCTGCTGCTGCCACCATTGTTAGGAACCGCCAGGGTATCTGTCAGACTTATTAATTTATCTTGTCCTGATTAGTTGCTGAATATTTAAGATTACACTGCTCGAATGTGACATTTTGCCCATTTTTCTCCATAAAGATTAAGTTCGTCACCACAAGTATGTACGCCTACTTTGAAGACAACAAAAGTGGCTTTGTCCCCTTCTGCAACGGCCAAAAGGATAAACAGAGGTTCTTTATCTTCCGGCCCCAGTGTAAGAAGGTAATTGTTCTCTCCCTGTTCCAAGGTACTGACTCAGGTAAAGGAAGTTTGCAGCAGGCAATGAGTTGTTTGGCTATAGTTTTGTTAGAGGAGAGGACCTGGGGGAAGAGGAGAAAACACAAAAGACTCTGTGATCTTCTGGGGCTTCTGTTCCTATTTGGCACTGGGGGGATGAGGCTGTGGAGGGAATGGTGTAGAGCATCCTCTTCTAGTGACTCTCAGCTTGCTTAATGTGATCCAGAAAATAGAGTTTAGTTGCACTTACTAACAATACCTGGTATTGTCATTTCTCACCTGTTGTGTATAGGCAGGTGAGAACTCAATGGGTAGGGAGGTTTGATGCAGTTGTGTTATGGAATTTGTATAAATTAAATCTTGTACTTAAGTCTGCCCTTAACTCTCTGCTTATAATATAACCCTGCTCATTTACATTCTGCCTCAGGGGGCAAATAGAACCCTCAGATGTTCTATTTCAAGATCTCTAGTGAAATTGTTTTAGCAAACTTCTTGGGTCCTAGTTGACTGCTTTTGAACTTGATATGGGTAACTAAAGGCCACATTTTATAATATCACCAAAAGCCATTCTGTCATCATTTGCATGGATCAGAATTGTCTTCATCACATTCCCCTAATGTTGTGAGTGTGTGTTTTATAGAGACATGAGCTCTCTGTGAGTATACATTGTTGTCTGTGTTTTTTCCCTCCTCACCTGTGTTTCCATTCAGCTTTTCCATAAACTCCAGGCTAGCCAGCTCTCTAGGGAACTTGAATGCTGCAACAGATGATCCCGAGAACAAAAAGACCTCCTCACCCTCTAAGGCAGGTTTCACAGCCAACCCGTTCACCAACCTCTTGAATGGCAGCTCCCAGATAACTACCAGAAATTACCCTGAAGTCAACAACAACCAGTACAACAGAAACGGCAGTGGTGGTGGCGGCGGTGGCGGTGGTGTCGGTGGCGGCGGCAGCGGTGGCGGCGGAGGCGGTGGCGGCGGTGGCAGCAGCAGCAGCGTGGGCAACCTGAACAGCCACCTAGGCCCCCAGGGCGCCAAGACTGAGGAACCTGCCACCATCCTCAGACCCTCCTACACCGGGCTTTCTTCTTCTGCAGCGAGATTCCTGAGCCGCTCTATCCCCGTAAGTTCGCAGACACCACCACCTCTTGGTCCTCAGAACCCTGAAGGCAACTTTTGCGCCTTGCCTTCCCAGCCGAGGCTGCCACCAAAGAAATTTAATGACTCCAAGGAAGCCTTCTGATCGATGCCTTCCCCCTGTGCTGTGAAACTGTCTATGCACTACACATTCTACTGGCTCCTCTTCAAGTAAATGCCGAGTTTCAACTGGGTTTTCTTCCTTCCTTCTTTTTCTTCCTCCTTCACCCCAACTCCTTTTTAAGTGGTTTCTCTTCCAAGGGAAACAGCTTTCATTCCATTCATGATGGACACTGGTGACTTAAGTTACTTTTCATTCAGTTTTCAAATCACCCTGAGTATCTCGTACAAAGCCAGGAGCTCATTCATGCGATAGATGGTGTTTGCTTTGGTTATGGTGATATAGAGAATTATATTTTTCTGCATCATAGATCAACAAATGAATTTTGGAAATATTAAAATGTGGAAGGTGCTGAGTGAACAGTATCGACCCAGAACTAAGCATCAGGCCCTTGAATATTTCACCTCCTGCAAGGAACTGACCCAGAATAAATTAAGTGGCAAATGGAGGGTGTTTATAAGAAAGGCTTATAGGTAGGGGTGCAAGGGGAGGAGTAGGCAGAGTATTAGGACGATGTTTAAAGTTAGTCATCACTCTTCTAAAGATAGGTGGGAAGATCTCCACACACATTTTACCAATGAGATCTTCATTTAGGTTGCCAAGCTTCCTTTTTAATGATCAACAATCCCTGATAGTGTAAAATCTGTTGGTTAACCCCTTCTACAAGTAACTTTAATAACATATTTTGATTGCCTCTAGGGGCATTGGGATCTATAGGAATGTGAGTTTTTTTAATTATTTATTTATTTATTTTTTATTTTACTGTATTATGGGGGTACAAGTGTTAAGGTTACATATATTGCCCATGCTCCCCCTCCCCCCTCGAGTAAGAGCTTCAAGCGGTTTTAATTTGAGAGGAACAAGGACAAATGGGAAGGAGAAATAGATCCTACGTATCAAGAAAATGTGAAGCGTGGTTGAAACACTCACTACACTGAGGGCACAAGAAGCTCCAGCATGTCCTGGAAGGCCCTGGCCTGTCTTCCTTCCACACTCACTATTCTTTGTACGTTTCTCCAGCCACCATCCAGGGTAAGACTGCTTTCTGCAGGGGAGAAGATGGGAGGAGGAAAGGTGCTGGTGGCCGTGTGCTGCTTATGGCCTACTTAGCAAAACGACAGTCCCTTGGTTCACCCTTAAGGGGACCCACTTTCCTTAGTTGGCAGTTTAGAAACCATGAAGATGTTTTCTAACATGAGGATGCAGGTTGTGCGAGTGTGTGTGTGTGTGTGTGTTCATGTATGGGTGTGTTGGACTCATTACCACTCCCATCCTTACCTTAGTCCTCTTTTCAATTTTTCCTCCCTCTGTCCACTTCCAGTTCTTCCCCTAAGAGGAGTTCTGGCACATGGGATTTTCCCCATCTGATTTTAGTCCCAGCAATGTTTTTCAGCATTATTTTAGATTCTTTTATAGGTTAGGGCCAGTAACTGCCAACCCATTTACCCTTCAATCTGATTCTAATCCCACTATGTAAATTGGGTATATATGTATCATAAAACTTAAATCCATGTAGCTGTGGGTTAGATATAAAACGATAATGCATTTAAATTTTCATAACTATGTTCATAAATCATAGACATCACAGCAGGAATTGAGTTCAGTCAGTATTTTCATATATTGACTGTGGATCAGTCTCTCTTTTTAGATCAGAGTACAGATCTTTCCATTTTCAGAAAAAGTGTTAAAGATATATAGATAGTTATATAGGCATGTGCCGCATCACGATGTTTTAGTCAATAACAGACCACATATATAATGGTGGTCCCATAAGGTTATAATGGAGCCGAAAAATTCCTATTATAGCCTAATGACACTGTAGACATCATAATGTCATAACACAATGCATTACTCACGTGTCTGTAGTGAGCTGGTGTAAATAAACCTCCTGTGCTACCAGTCGTATGAAAGTATAGCACATACAATTATATAGTGCATAATACTTGATAGTAAATGACTGTGTTACTGGTTTATGATTACTATACTTTTTAATCATTATTTTTAGAGTATACTCCTACTTATTTAAAAACAAGAAACTTAGCTATAAAACAGCCTCAGGCAGGTCCTTCAGGAGGTATTCCAGAAGTAGGCATTGTTATCATAAGAGATGACAGCTCCATGCGTGTTACTGCCCTTGGAGCCTTCCAATGGGACAAGACGTGGAGGTGGGAGACACTGATACTGATGATCCTGACCCTGTGTAGGCTAATATATGTGTTTGTGTCTTAATTTTAAATTAAAAAGTTGAAAAAGTAAAAAATTATGAAAAAATTTTAGAATAGAGAAAAGCTTATAGAATAAAGATATAAAGAAAGAAAATATTTTTGTATAGCTATATAATGTGTGTTTTTTTATTTTTTTATTTTTTGAGACAGAGTCTTGGTTTGTTGCCCAGGCTAGAGTGAATGCCATGGCATCAGCCTAACTCACAGCAACCTCAAACTCCTGGGCTCAAGCAATCCTACTGCCTCAGCCTCCCGAGTAGCTGGGACTACAGGCATGCGCCACCATGCCTGGCTAATTTTTTCTATATGTTTTTAGTTAGCCAATTAATTTATTTCTATTTATAGTAGAGACGGGGTCTAGCTCTTGCTCAGGCTGGTTTCGAACTCCTGACCTTGAGCAGTCCGCCTGCCTCGGCCTCCCAGAGTGCTAGGGTTACAGGCGTGAGCCACCACGCCCAGCCATGTAATGTGTGTTTTAAACTATATGTTGTTACAAAAGAGTCAAAAGTTAAAAAAAAAAATTATAGAGTAAAAAGGTTACAATTAGCTAAGGTTAATTGGTTATTGAAGAAAGATTTTTTTTTTTATAAATTTAGCGTAGCCTAAGTGTACAGTGTTTATAAAGTCTACAGTAGTATACAGTAATGTTCTAGGCCTTCACATTCACTCACCACTCACTCACTCACTCACCCAGAGCAACTTCTAGTCCTGCAGGCTCCATCCATGGTAAATGCCCTAAAATGCCCTATCCAAGTATGCCATTTTTTAATCTTTTATATTTTATTTTCACTGCACCTTTTCTATGTTTAGATATGTTTAGATACACAAATACCATTGTGTTACAATTGCCTATAGTATTCAGTACAGTAACATGCTGTACAGGTTTGTCATCTAGGAGCAGTAGGCCATAACATCTAGCCTAGGTGTGTAGCAGGCTATACCATACCATCTGGGTTTGGGTAAGTGCGCTCTATGACGTTTGCACAATGATGAAGCCGCATAACGATGCATTCTCAGAACATATCCCCATTGTTAAATGACACATGACAATATAAGTATCTTGCAGATTTCATGGCTAAAGGTTTTGTGTAATCCACATTTATAGCTGAGTGCCAGTGGCATTGGTAGCTTGACAAGAATAATGTTCTATTTTTTCTAGATCTTAGTTTTCCTCTTTGCTGGAGAAAGCATGGGGGCATTCTTTTGACAATTCTTGATCCCTGCCAATGTTATTTACAGTCTTAATTTTGGTTTCATTCCATATTTTGTTATTTCTTTTCACCTCTCCACCTCCTCCTCCTCATCCGACTCTTCTGGCTGGAATAGAATGATTTTCCAATAATTGAATTTAAAGTAATTGTGCAGGCAGTTGCTGCTACTCCCGCCTTCTCCCTCCTAATTTTGTCATCTAAATGTAAAGAAAAACAATTAGAAATAGAATTGCCAGCACGACAACATTTTCTTCCCTCTCACCCCAGGAAGTAAGAAGCAGCAGGTCTTCATAGCAGACCCTCCCCTTTATCTTTGCCTGGAAAACCTCCTGTGGCTAGGGAAAGCTCCGGGTCCTACCCCTGCTGACATCTGGTAGAAAGTCGAAATGAAGATGGAAATTTCCACTTTGTGTGGAACAATGTAGGAGGTCGCGACTTGTTTTCATTTACGGTCCATTGCAGCTTTTCTAATTGTAGTGGGTTTATTGTCTAAATAAGATTGTCATTCTTTCCAGTGCTTCTGAAGATGTGGGACTTAGGATCCTTGAAGAACTAGCAATAAACCACTTAACAAAAATGTTTTTAAATCCTTAGGTAGGAAAATGAAGTCTGCATGGCAATATCCTCCCAGCACCTTTTAAAAAGACCCAGAAACTCTTATGGGATGGGGTGATGGGTGTTTAGAGGGAGTCTAATATTTTAAAAGCTACAATTAGTATCTCTTTTGAAAGCTGCAATTGCTCTCTCACTTTTTGCAGCAGTTCAGCCCCCAGAAAAATGTAAAAATGATTTCCTTGTTCTGTCATTAAATGCTTTACCACAGAAAACAAGAGCTAATGTTAAGGACTCCTTATGGTTGTGACAGCATGCTGAGAAATAGTCAGACTTTATTTTTATTGCTCTGGCCTCATTTGCTAGTCTTGCGGTTTCAATTGCCCTGTGCTATGCACATACCAGGTTTCATTTCTGTTGACCCATTTACTGTAAAAAATTAGTTTCACTCCCTGACGCTCAGAGGAATTTTCAAATGCTTAAGAAATGAGGGACGTGTGATTATGGCGTGGGTGGGGTGGAAGTATTTTATTAAATTGAAATTACTTGTGGTATCTGTCTTGAATATTTGCTAGGTTTTATTTTTATGACACTTATCACTGGATTGCTATTCACCTCCGTTGACCTTACCTGAACCCCCAAGTCTGGGTTAGGTCATGGTGCTTCTCCTATAAGCTTTTCTCCATCCCACCTTGGTCTTAATCACAATATGCTTCTCACTCTGAATTTTCATCATCCACTGCTGTAAGCTCTGGGAGGGCAGGAATGGTGTCTCTGGGTTTCACAGTTATGTGCCTGGCAGATAGTAGGCACTCACTGAGTATCTGTTGATTGGATACAAGTATGGATGGATGTTTAAATGAAGGAATGTGAGAAG